CCTACAGGGAACCGGTTTTCCCTTGTCACTGAAGCCTTTTGAGGCGCTGGTTGCCACCTTTGTGCCAATCCAACCTACAACAAGCTCCGGGGCCGAGCTGTTGTGTCAGCCTCAGTTTGCTGGGAAAACCCTTGTGCTGGGATGAGCCCAGCAAGAACCAACTCGACTTCTTCCCCCCGTCCCCCTGACTTCCCCCTCCCCATCCTTCTTTTCCCAGTGTTTCCCTGCGGACCCGGATCCAGGGAATGGGAATACTTTGATGGAAAATGTTACTACTTCTCCCTCACCAGAACGAGCTGGCACAAGGCGAAGGCTCAGTGCGAGGAGATGCACTCGCAGCTCGCTGTCATTAACAGCTATGCCAAGCAGGTAAAGACCCAGCTCCAGGCGGGAATTGCCGGGATCCTGCCCCTTCCATGTCCCTCCCGGCTCCCCAGCCTCGCTGGGCAGCGCTGGTGCTGTCGTCGCCTGCAGCAGCCAGCAGAGAGCAGGCAGAGCCTGCGCTGCCGGCACCCAGGGCTCCGCTTGGGCGTGCTCGGGATGCTCAGACCCAGCACCAGCACCTATCCTGTATGTCCTGTACACGGGATAGATCTCCCCCTATGCTGTAAATCCACAGCCAGGGGCAGAGCTGAACCCCTCCAGCTCCTCTCTGAGTTCTTCCATAGAATTCTTCCATGGAATTCTCGATGGTGCAAACTCGAGGGGCCGTTTCCTGGTGCTTTTCCCTCCTGATCCCTCTCCCCGCTGCAGAATTTTGTCATGTTCAGGACAAGGAATGAGCGTTTCTGGATTGGGCTCACGGATGAGGACTCAGAAGGGGAATGGGAATGGGTGGACGGGACCGACTACAGAACCACGTTCACGTGAGTGCTGCCCTGGGTTCCTATGCTCAGCACCCCGAAGAGTTGGGGTCCTATCACCCCTGCTTCATCCTGCCCCAGGACGGGAGCTCTAACACAGCAGCAGAGGCAGAAATGAGCACCTAAACCATGTAAAATCAGCCAGATTTAGCCAATATCTGCCCTCTCTCAATCTGATCCATCTCTGCCCAGATTTTGGATGGAGGGAGAGCCCAATAACAGCGGCAACAATGAGGACTGTGCCCATGTCTGGGTGTCGGGGAAGTGGAACGATGTCTACTGCACCTACGAGTGCTACTACATCTGCGAGAAGCCTGTGCCCAAGTGAGCAAAGCTGCTTGTGGAGCCAACAGCCGAGGCTCTGGCACCACAAATGGTCCTTTCTCCTCTTAACTTATGTTCTCTGCCCTGTCCTGAGGAAGAGCAGGGATGGATTTGGATGGTCCGAAGCAATATCTGCAGGAATCTGGGTTCTCTGTGGGGAGCTCGGCCTAATAAAGGACAATCATTGCTCTGGTTGATGAAGCTTCTCTGTTTCTAGGCATGAAGGGCTGGGGTGGGGGAGATGAAGCCATATAGCAACACTGTGCAGGTTAGTGGCAATGCCAGGGGCAGGCTGGGGATAAATGAGACACAATGGTCCAGCTCTGGGGCAACAGCGCAAGAGGGACGTGGAGCTGCTGGAGCGAGGCCAGAGGAGGCCCCGGAGCTGCTGCGAGGGCTGGAGCAGCTCTGCTCTGGAGCCAGGCTGAGAGAGCTGGGCTGGGGCAGCTGGAGAAGAGAAGGCTCCTGAAGGGGACACCTTAGAGCAGCTCCAGTGCCTAAAGGGGCTCCAGGAGACCTGGAGAGGGGCTTTGGACAAGGGATGGAGGGACAGGCCAAGGGGAATGGCTTGAACCTGCCAGAGGGGAGATTGAGCTGAGCTCTGAGGCAGAAGCTCTTCCCTGGGAGGGTGGTGGGACACTAGGATGGGTTGAAGGGAGAAGGTTTGGATGAACCATTCCTGTTCAAGGCCAGGTTGGACACAGGGGCTTGGAGCAACCTGCTCTAGTGGAAGGTGTCCCTGCCCATGGCAGGGGTTTGGAACTGGATGAGCTTGAGGGTCCTTTCCAACCCAACCCGTTCCATGATTTAGGATTCTATGAAATTGGATTTGCTGGGATTTGAGTGCATCCCCAGCGCATCTCCCATGGTATCACTGGGGAGGGGAGGCATGGATGGAGCAGAGCTGAGCTCCATCCATGAGGATCTGGTGCCTCTGCTGTGACCCTTCTTGCTCCTTACACGGGTTTGGTGCTCAGGGCAGCTCTTCGCCCCCAAGAACTACCCTGCTGCCTGTACCCCCGCCCGGCTCGAGTCCCGGCC